CATCCATCCATCCATCCATCCACCCACCCATCCATCCCTCCATCCATCCATCCCTCCATCCATCCATCCACCCATCCATCCATCCATCCCTCCATCCATCCCTCCCTCCCTCCCTCCCTCCCTCCATCCCACAGCTGTCTCAGAGCCCCCTCCCTGGGGGGAGCCAAACAGGGGCTCAGCGTCCCAGAGGGTCCTTTGCAGCTCCCCAGATGAGATGCTTTGTGTCCTGGGAATGGCTGGGACGGGACACCCCCCTCCCACCCTCCTGTGCCCGTGCCAGGGCTCCCGGGAACGCGGCTGCAGGAACAGGGACGCGGGAGGGGTCGGAGGTTTTTTCCCCTGGGGGGTTCTCAAAGCCCTGCCGGCCCCGGGGGGATTTCTCCTCCTCCCTCTCCATCTCCCCCGTGCCTGGCAGCTCTCCGAGCCCCCCCTGCATCCCCCATCCCTGCTCCCGGAGGGACAAATCCCATTGCCGGTGCCCTTTGGAGCCTCACCCCGCGCACCCCGATGCCCGGGGCCGGGGGCCGAGCTGCGGGGCCGGGGCAGCAGCGATTGGGTGCTATTTTGCTCCTGCCCCTCGGGCAGCTGTCGCTGCTCATTACGCAGAGCCGGGGCCAGCCCGGGGCTGCCGGCGAGGAGGAGGCAGCGCTGGGCCATCCCAGGTACGGCTTTGGGGAGGTTCGACCCTCCCGGCTGCGCGAGGGACACCCGCGGGCCGGGGGGATTTGGGACCCCCGGGGCTCATCCCGGGTGTGTGTGAACCGGGAGAGAGGGAGAGAGGGGCGGCGATTTTTGGAAGTTTCTTTGAAGTGAGTCAGCGGTAAAAGGCACCCCTGGGGAGCTGCGTGCAGCAGGAGCGCCCGTGGCAGCGGAGCAGAGCTGGTTGTTTGTTGAGTGGCTGCGATTTGGGGGCGTTTAAGAGAGGGGCTGGTGAGAGGAGTGACCGGGATGGATGGTCGGGCAGGTGCGGGGGAGGTTCCCTGGGCAGGGTCAGGGTGAGCCAAGGGCTGGAGCTGGATTTGGGGGCTGGGGGTGACCAGCCCTGCCATGGGCAAAATGTCCCTGGCACTCGTGACCATCCCTGGCACTGGTGTCCATCCCTGGCACTGGTGTCCATCCCTGACACTGTTCTGGACGCTGTTTGGGCTCCCCCATCCTGGAAAAGCCCAAGGGGTGGAGATGTGGGAAGAGGGCTGGGCAGCCCAGCAGGGATGTGATGGGGTGGCACCGGTGCTGCCACCCGCTCGGGTTTAGCGACAGCCCCCCCCCCCATGTGACGTGGCAGCAGGTCCTTGTGTGGCGCTGGAGGAAGATTTGGGATGCCCTGAGGCCCCCAACGAGCTGTTGGCTGGGCAGGGAATGCTCAGAGGTGGCCAAGGAGGGGCGAGAGAAGAGGCACCTTGTCCTCACCGGGAGCTGCCAACCACGGCCGTGGCTGTGCCAGCACCTCTGCCAGGGCGTGGGAGGCTCTGCAGGAGGGGGCTCAGCCTGGCACAGAAGGCTCTTTGTGGTGGTGTGAAATCACGGGGTGACCTGGGGCACTGAGGGGCATCCACGTGGCACCAGCTCCGTGGGAGCACCAGCCCTGCCCAAGGAGCAGAGGTCGTGCCCTCTTCCGTCTCCCTCACGCTCATCTGGGCCCCAAACCTGTTCCAAACCTCTGTGAATGGATGTGAAGCTCAAAAATGTGGGAGAAAACCCCATTTGAGGGAAAATTCTGCATCTCTGTGGCTTTCCCCGGGTCTGGGAACCCCCTGTAGGCACCACGAGAGCCCTGGGAAAGCTCCGTCCCTCCCCAGAACAGGAAGGACCAGACTCACCATCACTGAAACAAAACCAAAGATTGACTTATTTATTTATTAATTCTATTTTTATTTATTTATTTATCCTTATTTCCTCTGGAAAGCAAAGATCTTTCAGACCTTTGGCCCTTGAAAAATAAGTTTTCCTCCTTATTTATCTGTTTTGCTCCCAGTATCGAGTCTTAGATTTCCTCCTGGGAACTGGTGTTTCTTCTCAGTGTCCCACGAGGGGAAAACAAACTGAAATCAGCTCAAAGGGGGCAGAAAAATGTTCTCCTTCTGACCCCCAGATCCCAGCAGAGTGAGGGCTGAGGGGTGATGGGATTTGTTGGTGCCTCCTCACCCCTGTGGTCCAGGCAGGGCAGAGAACCCTGAGGAGCCCAACACACCCCCCAGCCCTGCTTTGTTTCAGAGCTCTGGGGAAATCCCGGTTTTCTCTCCCACTCCACAGCTGGGAAAAGCCCTGAGAGTCATCCCAGAGCTTTGTGACCCTCTGGGGTGTCTTCAGCTCTTCTCTGAGGTCTGTTTTGCTCCACGGCACCCAGAACTTCTCCTTCTGTCAATCCTCCAGACACGTTTGCAGGGTGCCCTGGCACTCCCTGGGTCGTTCAACCCCCTGTGTGCCTTGGCAGGGGTGGGGGGTCCTGTCCCCTCAGATGCAGCTCCACAGGGATATCCAAGATTTTGGGGTTCAGACCTGCCCGGTGCTCCCATTACACCCCGACCTCCCCACCCGCTGCCTCCACTGCTCAGGGTTTGGGTTTTTTTTGCAGCACTAACAGGGGAAACGTGGCCGTGATGTCCCCTCTCTGCAGGCCAGGGGGTGGCATCGAGGTGCCCGCACACCCCCCGCCTCGGCAGTTCCCACCTCCCCAAATTTGTCCCCTCTGTGCTTGTCTTTGCCAGATGCCAGCGCTGGGGTGAGCAGCGACAGGACAGCAGGAGCCCATGTAAGTGCCCGAAAAATGCGGGGTGAGGGTGCCAGGGGGAACCCCCGTGCCAGGGCAGGGCAGGGGGACGAGCAGGGGCTGTCCAGGCGGGAAGGCTCTGCGGGGTGTGCAGCACGTCCGTCCCGGGGGGGAACCTGAGGTCCTTCAGCTGTCGCTGTCACTGATCCGTGCCCATGGGCAGCTCTGGGTGCCGCTGGCACCGACCGCCACCCAACCCCGGCCACCAAACCCCAGCCGGCACCGAGCACAGACCCCAGCGCGGCTGCTGACCCTGCCGGCGATCCACCCAGGATCCCGGGTCCCGGATCCCACACTCTGCCCTCCGTGGAGCCCCAAACGCAGCCCCCAGGGTGGGCATTCCTCAAGCACAGCCTGAGGGTCCGCGGCCACCGGCCCACCCGCGTGTGCCAGGGCCGGCCCGGGGCTGAGTCCGGCTTAGCAGATAGAAAACAACCCCCAGTTTGGTTTGAAGGCTGCTGAGGGAACGCAGCAGTGCCGAGCCGGGTCGGTGCAGGGTCGGGGACAAGGACAGGGTGGGCACTGCAGGGGTGAGCGGGCAAAGGGACTTGGGGGGGGGAGGGATGGCAACAGGAGCGGGAGGGGTGGAAAAGGGGCTGGGAGGAGCAAAGGAGTTGCAGGGGGTGGCAAAGGGGCTGGGAAGGGACACGGGGTCGGGGTCTCTCTCCCGTGTGCTGGGGGGACCCCAGACCCGCACTGTGCCCCCCCCTCCAAGGCCACCTGGCCACCTCACCCCTTCCCCGCAGGGACTAGAGGAGGGGAGTGCCCGGTTGGTGTGTGAGCAGCACCCGGAGCAGCCCGAGCTGAGCCGAGCCGAGCTGAGCTGAGCCGAGCTGAGCTGATTTAAGCCGAGCCGAGCTGAGCATGCCAGA